ATATAAAACATACAGCTTATCGTGCCAGAATGCAGCTGCTATTATGTAACCATCGTCAGATTTTAGCTATATGCTAACTAAAAATAATTGCTGTGGAAGGCAAGTTCTGCTCTGCAGATATTACACAGGTTTTTCTTTCATTTTCTTAAAAAGATCCCACACTTTGAGCTCTGTTGTCAGGTAGCCATGATACCAGAGCCTGTCTGTATAATGTCTTGTGACGTCCACGGCCTACCCCAGTTACCACTGCTGTGCATGTGTGTCAAGGACAGAAAGGCAGATGTGGCAGTGGAATGTGTCAAAGCAATTTGGAGAGAACAAAGTAAAAAACAACAACAACAAAAAAGAAAACGATTAATCGATTATTAAATTAGTCATTGATTATTTCAATAATCGATTAGTCGTTGACTAGTCGATTAATCATGGCAGCCCTAGTTGGCATTGATCAGCTGACTGATTTAAATACATCTTAACATTCATGAGGTACTTTACATTGACTGTTTACGGTTGAGTGTGGGCGTGTAGAGGGTAGAACCTGAGGCGGGACCTCGTGCGCAAACTGTGACATGTGGCTGTGATTTATAAAGGAAAGATGCGCAGAAACGTGCGTACGTACGGTTTTATAAATCTGAATTTTTTTTTTTGGCGTACTCCATTTTCACCTTTTGGCCGTACGTTCACTTTTAGTATGGTTTCCACGCAATCCTTTATAAATGAGACCCCTGGTCAGAACTGATTCGACAAATGTGTTTCCATCTCTCCTTTTGCGCATTAACTCTTTTTTTCGAAAAGCCCAAAAACCACCTCAAGTGAGCATATCAACTTTGATGCGAATTAGATTAAGTTTTTTCGAATCATGCCGTTTCCATCCACCTTTTCTGATGCAACACTTCAAAATGCGCATTAAAAAATGCTGATGGAAACACGGCTATAGAGGTAGCAGCAGCTCAGTATGGTAAACCGTGGCTAACGAGGAGGTAAAAGCTACTGTCTTTAGCTAGGGTAAACGGATGGTTTTCAAGCTCCATCATTTCCATCATTAAAGAGCTTGAGATTTGTGTCCTCTCTGGCAATTTTATTGGATTTGTCAAAAGCCTCAGGAATGATAAGTATGACGTCATAATTCCCTGATTTTGGGCCGGTAACTATCGTGCACCCCTAGTTATCATTCAACCATGTTTCTGAGAGTACTATAATACTAAAAGTTTATTACCTGCTTTAAATAATCTGCTATGTGAGATAAATTGGTATTTTAGTCCATGGGTCCATGGTGGCTCACCGTGCCCCCCCACTACTGAACTTTTTTGGTATTTTCATGTACCCTAGGGTCATGTTAACAGAAAAAAAATTGGGTCTCACTGCCCACCAGGGACCCCTTTTTGGCCACACCCCTTTGCCATTGTGACCATCAAAATTAGGGGTACAGAAAACTTAACTGCCAATAACTTTGCTATAAACCAACCAACGTTTAAAAACAAGGTATCAGCAGATTTGTATTGATTAGCTCTTTAATTTAAATTACATTTCATTAAGCAAATATGCGCTTGATGATGCCATCAGGTTTTAAAATGTCACTACCCCAACAAAATATGGCAATTTTCATAATTTTAGTCTATAGGTTCAGGTGGGCCACCATGCCCACCTCACTACTGAACTTCTCTGGTGTCTTCATGTACCCTAGGGTCCACTTTTTAAAAAAAGCATGTTAACAGAAAAAAATTTGGGTCTCACTGCTCCCCAGGGACCGCTTTGGCCACACCCCTTTTCCATTTTGACCATCAAAGTTAGGGGTACAGAGCACTTAACTGCCAATAACTTTGCTAAAAACCAACCAAATTTTAAAGAAGTTCAGTCAGGGTTTCACCTAGGATTATTTTTTAACACTGGTGGTGTGGTGACCTCTCGTGAGCCGGGGGTGGGGGGAGGGGTTAAAATATAATTTAAGAAGTAAATTGTTATTTATACAAAGTTTAATACTTACAAATGTTCCCAGTCAGCAGATTAACAGTTTTAGGAGCTGCCTGAGGAGAACTTCCTCCTTCTCCCCCTCATCCTCTTTGAAATTGAGACCAAAAATCAACATCCATCCATGAGCTTTCTGCTTACAGGTCAAACGTTTTAATTTAAATAGGAGTAAACTGTGTACATGACCTTATTAAAAGTTACAGTTTAGTGTTCTTAGGATTGAAGACTTTCAGAGGAAAGAGGTTTTTAAACATCTTTTCTATAATTTTAGTGTTTTCAACTGAGGGGCTTTGATATATTTATTTGAAAAAAATATATAGCAGAGTAAGTTCTCTGCACAGAAAAAATAATTAATTTTTACTGTTTAACCAAACAAAATCAATGCGGCCGTGGGACCGCATTGATTTTGAATAAGATGCAATACACTTTCTCACCACCAATAGCGGTAGTGTGCCACTCAGATGTTTAACAACTTTAATATGTAGAACAAGAACCTTAAATACCTGTCGAGAATGGGAACTTATTTTAAATGAAAAGTAGAAGCAAAAATATATGGAGGCCAAAAAAAAAAAAGAAAAAAGAAGAAAAAAAAGACCAAAGTTTGTCACTAATATGAAGTACAGCTTCTGGTTCTACCATGCAGTATTTTAAAAAGTTTAAAACATTATCAAATACAGTTGCAGATACAGCTATATTTTAATTTGCACTATATCAAATTATATTTTGTAGTTTATTTTTTAACATTATTAATGTTTTTAAAGAAACTTTAAACTTGTCAAAAAAGCTGTTGTTTGTCACTAACTGGTTCTACCATGCAAAAGTTTACAAAGGCTATATTTTGATTTGTACTTTATCAAATTTATTTTTAGGTTTTTTTGTATTTGAAACATTTGACAAGAGTTTTACTTTTAAAATGAAAGTGTATTTAATTTAGTTATAATGTAAATACAATAAAAATTAAACCAAGATTTAGAA